ACTCAAAAGTTTGAGTAAACCCACGTATATCTGAAAGTCTTGTCTGCTTTATATTGCAGAAATACATCGGAAAAGAACACGTGGAATTCATACTGCTATTTCATCGTTTAGAGTATACACTGAATATGTAAGGTTTTGTATAATTTCGTGCGAAGCTACACGAGAGCTATCTAAACTAATCGTCTCTGAAGTAATAGACTAGAGAGAAGGTAGCCAAACAGTCGAAACTATCATTTGCTAACTTTTGGGTTACACTTGCCAGACCGAATAGTGGGATTTGACCTCCACTCTTAAAACGCTCTCACGGCCTCCAAAAACGAAACACGATTTTTTACAAGTATCCTTAAGAATTATTTAAGTTTTCGTAATTGTCGTTTCAAGACAATTTTCGGTCTTGCACTTCGGTCATTCCCAAAATCACATGCAAATTTTATTATTTTTAAATTATCTGTGGAATAGTTGGTTCTTCATTTGCTTTTAACAAAATTTCCGAAACACTCGCTACTGAGGAAGACTCTTCTTTATAAGAAAAGTATTTTGACGTTTTAAAACACTGGTTATTAAGGTACACTTTCTTTTAAAATAAAAGGTTTGACGTTTCAGAACGCAAGTTATCAATACACTCTCTTTTTTCCAAGAAAAGAATGAGTTTGGATCTTCGGAATAATGGTTATCAAGACTCACTGTTCTTTAGAAATAAACAACAATACTAATCTAGTAATATTCTATGTTGATCGAGTTTACTTATCCCTTCAAGCTACACTACAATACTAATCTAGTAATATTCTCTGTTGATTGATTTTACTTATCCCTTCAAGCTACACTACAATACTAATCTAGTAATATTCTATGTTGATCGATTTTACTTATCCCTTCAAACTACACTACAATACTAATCCAGCTATGCTACAATACTAATCTAGTAATATTCTATGTTGATCGACTCTATTTATCCCTTCAAGCTATGCTACAATACTAATCCAGTAATATTCTATGTTAATCGCTTTTACTTATCCCTTCAAGCTATGCTACAATACTAACTTAGTAATGTTTTTGTTGATAGTATCTACTTACACTACTTAACAATGTACTCTGAACTTATAAAACTTGATTAAAACTAATAAATGTCAACATATATCCAATTTAAAATAAATATTTAGGGTTAAGAGTTACACATTCTACACCTTTATTTACCATCCATACTGTTAAGTTTCCTGATTCAGTAAAAAATATTCTATCTAATCATAACTTAGAGGCTATATAAAATAGTTGTTGTAAACATTCATAGATTGTTCAGGCAGAATATTCATAATGAGTACAATGTTGTAGCAAAAACACAAGTGTAGAGTATTTCGTTTCGAAAGTCTCCCTTATTTCGTCTTCATGTCAGTGTGTTTGGGATGGAATATTTTCGAAACGTAGTCCTTTAAACCAGTGTTTTTTCTACAACAGGCTGTTGCTGCCCATTTCAGTGTACTCATCAAGTATTGTAAACGTTTTGCCATCAGTGCTGATATTCGTTTTTCTAGCTTTTACAACATATCGAAGATTGAATTAGTTTTTATAGCGTAGACGATAGAACTGAAACATTGTGATGATTTTACCTTAGTGTTAACACTTAGTTAAATAATATTCACATTTTGATACTCCTCAGTTTAACTTTTGCTCGAGAAATAAGCATATTGTACCATTGTTAAGATCTCCTCACTAGCTTTACTAATATGCGTGAATAACATAAAATGTTTGTATGTTTGCTTTAGAGCGAAGCTACATTGGGCTAGCTGCTGTGTCCATCACGGGGAATGGAACCACGGATTTTAGCGTTATAAATCCGAAAACTTACCGATGTCTTACCAGGGGATCATATATAAAATGTATTCATTAAATGCTATCTTTGAAACGTAGGTAACAACTAAAGTAAGACGGGCTTACACCACATTAGAACTATTTTTTATTAATAGGTGTTCTTCGGTCTCCATCTTAATTCATAGTTTAAAACGTGGTGCTAGCCTTTTTATGCATCTTACTTATGAAGCGTAGTATTGACAGAGTATCTTGTCACAGTTGTCTTACCAATGAAGCTCAATAAGATAATCATGACGATATTCTACAACACTAATGAATCGTAGTGTTGACAAAATATCTTGCCACAATTGTCTTACTAATGAAGCGTAGTGTTGACAAAATATCTTGCCACAACTGTCTTACCAATGAAGCTCAATGTTGTAGAATATCGTCATGATTATCTTACTAATGAATCGTAGTGTTGACAAAATATCTTGCCACAATTGTCTTACTAATGAAGCGTAGTGTTGACAAAATATCTTGTCACAACTGTCTTACCAATGAAGCTCAATGTTGTAGAATATCGTCATGATTATCTTACTAATGAATCGTAGTGTTGACAAAATATC